CATAAGCTTGGCAATCAGAACGTAACCCTGAGTCCTACCTGCCAAAACACAGATCTCCCGAACCCACAGGACTAAGTGAACATCATGATTCTTTTGAGCTCCTAGGTTCTCAATTTGAAGGCGAGATCCTTGGGCTAACATTTAATGAGGGCTACGCAACCCTAAACCCTGCATCTGAACATCCATATACCTTAAACCCATGAGCCCCTATAACAAAAGACCAAAATCCATACACAGCCTAGAGCCATGGACTGCTACACCCCAAGCCCTACTGTAAACCCAAAGCAGGCTCCTCGGAAGATCTGAGCCCTGAGGATGCTGTAGCCTTGGTAGGCTCTACAATGCGTGCGGTTTAGGATTGGTTTAGGGTTTATAAGGTTTAGGGTTTAGGGTTTAGGGTTTAGGGTTAGGGCTTAGGGCGTGGGGTTCCGGGATAGCATCTCCCAGCATACCATGCAAGGAACCTTGTATTGGACTTGGCTTAAATTACTCTTCGAAAGATGGAAAAATCTAGATAATAGGGGCCCGTGCTATAATAGGAACCCCACCAGAGGGGACCCTGGACCCCTGTTTATATAAACCAGTACGAAGTCTTTGCCAGGCCCAGGGTACCACGTTAGGCTTACCCCCCAACGGTTATTTGTATGCGTGCTGTTCTTGTCCGGCACAAACTTTCGGTTTTCAGTTTGATACTTCCGAAGGGATACCAACGAAAATAGGAAGCTCAGTGGCTGCTTGTGGAACAAAGCTGGTTTGCACTTATCAGCGAGCTTTCCCTTGTACCCTTAGGGTTTGTACCCCTGGGTTGGGGTGCCTAAACCCCCTTAAAAAGGGTATTTGGGCCCTAAGCCAAACTTAGGGTTACAAACATGCAGGGTACGAACTTAGAGTCTTTGCACTTAGTCTTGGTGCAACCTCCCTCTATGAAACTGTCAGGCCGCAAGCCTCATATTCCCCTCCCCCTAATATTAAATACTCCCAATATACTATAATATGTCATATAATAAGAACATGTAATATAAGGGGGGAAATTCATATTAGGGGGGAGGGGATTAGTATATTGTGGCTAACAATGGCGAGCATTCCTGCACTTTCTATTGTGGAGCTCCTAAGCCCTCCTCCTGAATCGCTGGCCCATCAACCCGAGATCCCTGCGCACCTGCCTAAGGCGACATCAACATGTGCACATCTTTCAACATTCGGCCCGCGTGTTAAAGTGGTGCGCTACCAGCGATATGAAAAAAACCCTCACTAGCAAGTATTCCGTATGCGCAGTCCAGATACACAGGGAAGCAATCAGCACAATGCTAGAGAGTACGGGCTGTTGAAGATCAGGTGCAAGAAATCAGCATCAGCACCCCGACCCCAATCGAAACCCACAAGCTTTTGCTTCCGCAACGTCTGATTTTGGTAGAAGCAAGCATCTCCCACGAACGCCAAAATCATGTGGGGGGGGCCCAGCCCCCCTAAATCCTAAACCCTAAACCCCTAAACCCTCAACTCTCAGGATCCCACATCCGCCGGTCTTGGCGCGGCATTCCCCTGCCTCGGAAGAATTCACAAGCTTCCGGCATTTTGTGGAGGATCCTCGACAGCAGCAACTGCCGCCGCTGCCGCCGCTGCCGCCGTAATTAACAGTAGAAATAAGTGTACATAGTAGCTAATAGCAATAATAGCAATAGCATTAAAGACTAGGAAGAGACTAGCATTAGCAGTAACAGGAGGAGGAAACATAGCAGAATCATGCGAATGAGTCGGCACGTGCTACAGGAAGAACTGGTGGCTCTGGTAGCATGATCAGAAAGATGACCCACTAGGACATGTCCGCATTGGATCGGGGAGCGCTTAACATAACGACCCACTTTTGGGACATGCCTCGCTGTGTTTCTTGATCTGCGCAGTCTACGTTGGACAGAGTCTCTGCGGACGTCATGGGGCATGTGCTCTTCTCTTCCATTCCAGATTTGAAAGCTCTTTACAAACTAGACCAATCCCAGTTTCTACAGGCGTGGTTGTGATCAGATCTTGAAACGGATTTCCAATATCTTCCTCACGCCAGCGCTTGACATGCTCGTCGTATCCAGTACAGATCCGAAACGTGAAGTGTGATTTGTGTTGGACTCACAAGTTAGGGAGCTTGTTGTCTTCAGTTCGAGGGCTGGATGCGCATCTTTTCATGATGTAGGATTCATGAGAGCATGCTGGATCATGTCACAATCTGTCAGGAACTTGAAAGCCGAAACCATGTTCCTGTGCAAGCTCACATTAACGAGCGCGCTTGATATCCCGAAACGATAAGACCCATGCGTCACAAGGACCCCCAGCAGAAAAATGGACGCACCGCTCTTAAGAACCCTTCGTGCTGAAGGAGAGTTATCTGACAAAGAGCACATCTGTACAACGCGCGTTCAATGGAGCAAAATGTCGGCATTCCTGGAGTTGCTCCGCGGCAAGATGCCCCTAGCTGATTTACTCGCGGGTCTGGAACAAGAATGGGTAAAGTTGCATGCAAAGTGTGAGGTTCCTTGCGGCATAACGTTTCCAGAATATCGCCATGACTCCGCATTCTCCCCGGGTGATAAGGCCTGCACAAGAAATGCAACAGTTTCCACAAGTCGTTCCCAACCCCAACCTCTGAATCCTATTCGATAACCCTGTGAAACCCACCAAAGCCCCAAGCCCTAACTAGCCCCTTACCACAAGGCCTGTTAAACCCTATGTAGACTCTACACAGCCCCAGTCGGCACTTTTTCCGTTTGATTTTCTATAGGTCCAACCCTGACCCCTCAACCCTCAAACCAAACCCCTGCCAGCATTGGCCCTAAAAACCCCTCTGTGCACACAGCTCCCATGTGATTTTCCATGTTGTGCGCCATTTGATCCCTAAGCCCTTTTGTATAATCCCCGAATCCTAAGTCCTATATATCTCACCGCAGGTCACACCAGAGCCGCTTGCCTACGCTACGTCATAACAAGGCCTGGGTCCTTGGCCGATCTTGGGGCCACGCATGCTTTTTGCCCTGAAAATGTAGGTCTAGGAATAATACCGTTTAGGGTTCAGGGCTTCGGGTACAATTATTTCGCCTAGATTGTGCCCTAACGGCTACAACAACCTAAGAATGTGTAAATGAGACCCACGGCGGGCCCTGAAGTCTTTAAAGCGGCCGTAAAGCCCAAGAATGGTGACTGCTTTGGGCTATTTGGAGGTTTCCCTAAATTAAAGGATTTTTTGGCCGTCCCAGTCATATGGATTGTAATATTTTGGGCCCTATATGGGGTCCCTCTATTTAGGGAAACCACCATATGGAGCACCAGGGTTCGAGACCTTTCTGTTGCCTAGTGGTGAGTGCGCCAGAACCTCAGAAGTTAGAACGTCTCTACAGAGATTCTTCGGGCGGTTCGAGGGGTTCAGCAGGGAATTCAGGACATGTAAGCCAAAGAAGTAAAGAAGGACTTTGGAGTAGCTTCGGAGTGCAGACTAGTAGCTAAATCAATGGCTCACCTGGAGCTTGTTGCCTGAATGGTTGTTCCAACAATGCCGGAAAGAAACTTGAGGTGCAAAGAGTGGGATATGGATCTGGGAACCTGTGAAATCACTTCACTCGTATGGGCATGTCTCCCGGGAGGTCCCCTTGCAGGCGTCTAGAAACATGTATTTGTTTGGCATAACGGCCCCCAACAGGGGGCACCAGAAATTGAGACACCAGGGAGTCAACGGCAGAAGCGCCGAAAGGATTGAGCATGATGGGCCGCATCCAAGCTCGGCAAGTCGTGGCACTTGACGTGGCCTCCGGCAACCAAAAGAATGACAAAGAAACCTGAATGAGTGGGCCAGGATCTGTCTTTTGTCTCATGGCTATGCTATGCCATAGTTTCCGGAAATGAGGTTGTTTACAATTCAGGTTTCTGTGCTTTGCGGACTTGCTTCAGCAAGCCACAGACTTCGCCAGAGGCCATTTGGAAAAGACAGTCGCAGACTTTCGAAGCGGTGAGCTGCCAAGCCCATGAGTCCAAGCCCTGCAGCTGTGGATCTTCCAGGGGCCTTGAGCCCATTGGGGTAATATTAGGGTCATATTGGGGTGATATTGGAGTTATATTGGCTTAGGAAGACTTGAAATAAACCAACTAAGGTTCCTAAAGCGATCTAATTCTGAACACCATGCCTCAGGAAAAGGGCTGGAAGCGCTGAGAAGTCTCTACAGTTTGTCCTTGCCCCAGAGTGTGCTTCCAAGTTTCTCATTGTTGCCTCTGTTTAACTCTTGCTACCACCTGGGATTGCTACCCTGGAGTCCCGACCCAAATGGGGCAACTGTGTGAACAGCTGCCTCAAGCCCTGCCTAGGCCCGATGGCCCTTTGCGATCTCCCTTCTCCCGATCATCACTGACCTTCTTAATCTGAATGAAGTGGGAAAGCGGTTAATGTCATTGACCCATATCTAGCAGCATTGTAAAACTCATTTTCCTGCCACATGTTGCGCTGTAGGCACGCGTCAAGAGCAGAAAACATGAATGTTCAACCCCAAGCCAAGACCCCACATACTAGGAACAAGACTGTTGGGTCAGTTGAAAGCATAGTGCGACCGGTTGGGACTTGCTTTTTGCCCTGAACCTTCCTCCCAACTCCTGACCTCACTGTAAGTAAAAGCCCCTAAGCTATTGGAGGTCTTCTTTAACCCCAACCCCTATACTAAGGACCCTGCCCCAATCCTTACATGATTGATGGCCAGATGGTCCTTATCTAGGTAACTAGAATCTCCTTGTTGCTTAATAACCATCCATATACAGACCCCACCATAGCCCAGTCCCCTTTTCATTGTCCATCTTCTTTTACATCTGATTCGCCATATTGGGGTTTATCTCCCTAGATCCCCCTATGCACCTGTATATAGAGAGAGAGAGAGAGACAGAGAAAGAGAGAGAGAGTTGATTTTTCCATGTTTGTCACTCCACACTGGTAACCCTAAGCCTGAACGCTTGCTTCAGCAGCTCCGGTCTGAAAGTCAAAAGTCATCCTCAGGAGTCAGGTCCTCCATCAGGAGATCACCTTTCATAGGCTTCAAAGGGCTCAGGAGTTGGGTCCTAGGTTTCCCTTAAACCCTGAACCCTAGGATTTGGTTCCCGCTCCATAAACCTAATCCCCATATGATCGGAGGGGAAGTTCAACTGTTAAACTTCATACTAGTTGGGAGAAGCCTCCTGGAACCTCCCCCCAAAGAAGGCAGCGACAAGCTCCCTGACCTGAAAGACCCAAGGTGCACATCAGGACATCCTTCCGCACACACCGTGGGTGAGGGGCTGCAAAGAAGCATGAATTCTGACAGAAGAGCCTCTGGTAAGGATTAGCACCCGAAGCAATGACGACCCCAACCCTTCAAAAGGTCGCACCTGAGCCCTCCCCAACCCCTCGACTCCTGAAACTCTCAAAATGGCCTGCTTCCTCCATCAACTCAGCACCCTCCTCCGCAAGCAACATGTTTTGCCTTAGCGATCAGGTATCTGCAGTTGGCGCGAAAGAAAATTAAGGTGGAGAAGGGGGATGCCTCTGTTGCTTTGCTGCGGGCGAGTCTGTCGCAACAATCCCTGATAGGAGGTAATGCCGCAACGTCAGTAGCAGTGGAACTCATGGTGGCGGTTGTAGTGGCAGTGGTTGTGGTAGTAGCGGTAGTAAAGGTAATTGTAGCAATAGCAGCAGTAGCAGTACGTAGTAACCAGTAACCTGTAGCAGTGCCAGCTGCAGTAGAAACAGTGGTGCCAGCATCCATCGAAGAAGCAACAAGCAACACTACTAGAAGTAATTCAAATCATGCTGGCAATGATGACCAGCTCCATATATGGACGAAGTCTAGGTGCGCCAAAAAGGGGATAAATGTAAGAACACTCAGGACTGCAAGTGGCTGCCATTTGCAAGCAACTGACACTCCAGCGAGCATGTCCGAGAAGACCGAGCCCTGGCACACGCCAAAGAACAAATGTAGTATTTTCTTGAATATCAATATTACGATTATTATTGTTATTCTTGTTATTCTTGCTATTCTATTAAGACGGTTACCATTGGTGTTATTCTTATTATTATGACAATGAATACTATTGTTGATATGATATAGGATTAAGAGTCAAGTCCACCAGCATGGTCTGAAACCGGAGCTGTCACTCCACTGTGCTGGGTGCGTCTTCAAGGACGAGCCATCTACGCTGGCTCATGGTTGGCTGCAATGTCCCTTCTTTCCGGCAACCCTCAAACGCCTGAAGGTCCGCTAATGCTCGACCAGCCCTCAACTGGTATAGCCCTGCGAAGTTGCTGATCAAGAGCCCGCCACGCTTTTTACAGGGCTGACAGCAGTCATTAAAAGGGGCTTTTGAGCTTTGTTAGATGCTCCGATCCACTTCCGAAGGCTTTGTCAGAGTCGTCTGTGTCGCTCAAAACTGAACTTCGCTCAGCACATGTGTGCATGATGAGCCGATTGGTGTCTGCCCTGGTGTAAGCGTACACTCCCAGCAAGGCAACGGCGATCACGCAAGCTACGCCGGCGAAATGCACACCATATGCTCCATGGGCAACAACGCCCAGCCAAACCAAATCTCCAGCCCACATCATGGCTCCAATGATGAAGCTCACCAAAGGCATTTCCACAATGAGCGGCATTCCGGCAACCCAGTGGGCCAACTTCTCATCGGGAACAAAGCCCACTTGCACAATGAGGATGGTCGTGAGTAGCACGGCAATGACATTGAAGGCCAGGCCCATGCTGGATAGAAAGGGGTGGATTGTGTCACAAAACTTTTGGCTTGGCATAACCGACAGCAGAAGATCGTCCTCACACTTTGCTGTCCGGGAATAATCCAGCATTGTCAGGAAAAGGGCTCCAACCACTCCGAGAGTGGTCCAAGCTCCCATCATGCGTTCACGGAAAGTGGCAGGGTCCAGATTGTCTCCTAGCATCGGCAGAGTCTCCAGGAAGGGTGACCTGATTATTGCCTTGCAGAAGGCAAGCATGGCTCCAATAAAACTAATTATGCCCTGGGGCGAGCTGCCTACGAGACTTCCAACTTGCGCTTGGAAAGGAGGACTGATCTTTTGCAGCCTGTTGCTAAAGCTGGGCTCGGCGCAGCTAAAAACTTTGAGCCCAAGAAGGCAACATGACAGACACGCCTTCTTCTGATCGTGTATGCGCTGCAGGGCTGTTTTGACTTGTGAATGATTCCCAATCAGGGAAGCCTATCAACCTCCAGTGAGCCTAACGCCCAAAATTGGGAACTGCAAGGTGCTGGCACCACAAAGGACCTTTCGATTACAAAGCCAAGATGCTGCCACTCTTGCCAAATCTTCTTTGAGGACACTAGGGCCTGTTACAAACCTTTCCACGAAAAGAAGCTCCCTTCTCCTGGCACTCGACCACGCAACAAACCCAGAAACCTGAAGCAATAGAGGGGAGCATCGCGGCGCATCGTAGCCCACAGCGTAGTACAGCTATGTATAGATATCGGATTTCACTCTCCTCTTCCTTCTTCAGACTTGCACATACATCCTGAAACCAAGCCCTGCCACCTGATTCTGGTCGGCACAACCGTTGTAGCCAATCACATCGCGATCCATTGCCGTCCTGGAGCTGAGTGCACTGTACCTGTTGAACCCTAGTCTGATCAATATTTCTCCAGCTGTGCTTTGGGCAATGAGCAGTGAGAACACGTTTGTGACACATTGCAGGAGATTGGCCCAGCTTCAAAGCAGTTCAGAGAATGGCGCGTTGTTCTACTGGCCAAGATCGCGATCAAGATATGGGGTCTTTAGTCTGAGCGTCTGTGCACTTGCTCGGGTGGTCTTTGTGCCCTTCGGAGGCCCTAAGAAAATCAACTGGGAATGCAAGTAGAGATGTGGGTTTTTGTCGGGGTCAGGCTACATTCAAAGAGAAAATATCACAGTCAAGCCTGCGCCGATAAGCTGGAGGGTCATCATTTCTGTGGGCCCTTATCTTTGTCCATGTTGATGCTAGCAACCAGTATGCTAGTGAACAAGCATCAAATGGGAAAAATAAAACAAATCTGTTGCACACACTCCCGCCCCTAAACCATCCTAAACCCTAAAACCCTGCCAATGGAGCTGAATGGCTGCCCTGAGGGCCGTCCCGGCTGCGGCGGCGGCGTGATCTTGTCCACCTTGCTGGGGGCAAGTCTACCTAGACCCTCCGATGTAGTACCTTCTTCGTAGCCCTAATAAGAGTCCTAACCCAAAAAACCCTACCAAACCCAAAAAGGAACTACATTGGAGGGTCTAGGTAAAGGCTTTACGTAGTGAAAACAGTTGAGGAAATCTCCTAAGCTCCAGGCTTTACGAGGCAAGCCCATCTAACAGCATCATATACAGAAAATCTAAGAGATTGCCCATGTGGCCTAAAGCATACTACCAGCAAGAACGCACCAGTTCTGTACAGGAAGCAGAACAGCACGGGGACGATGACATGAGTAATATCTCCTAATAACGGAGAGTAAGACGGAAAAGAAAATGGAAAACTGAAATGGAAACTGGGATTATGTGGGGGATAATAGGAGCTATGGTCTAAACTCCCAGTATCCCCCTTCCTAACCACTATAGTAGTCCCCCATGGAATCCCTTATGTTCACTAAACCCTAAACCCTAGATTATGGCTCACATGAAGCTGTTTTCAATTTTTAGGTTTCAGGGTTGACGGCGACACTCCTGCTCTCCAACGTCCACATTGAACCAGAAAACGTTGACGAAAACACAGCCCAGTTGAGCCTATAGTCTAAATCCCTAGCACCCCCCAAAAAACAATTTTAATGCTCCCCTATATAACTGCCTATATAACCTTCTCTAAGGAGTTTAGACTATAGATCACTTGGGGGTTTTCCCAAATCCTGTCCCTACCTGTAAGCTCTTAGTATTTTGTGAGAATTCAGTGGGGACCCCTGCCTGTGGAAATCCAAGCTTACTGTTGAAAAGAAGGCACAGAGAAGGGCGTGTTCAGGTCCAGGATCAAACTGGAGGCCAGCTGCGGAACTTGACTGAATCCTGCGTTGGAGGATTTGTGGGGTTGAGGGACTTCAAAGGACAGGTGACGATGAGCTAAGCACTAAGCTGGAATGAGCAAGACTTGACAAAGCAATCCACATAAAAGTCGGGCAACGGCGGCAGCCAGGGTGAAGCTTGTGCAAGTGCAGTGTACCTGTTAGGGGGGGGCGGAGGGGGGCATCCCACGAAGTGCTGTTCTGTCCTGCACTCTCCAGCCGCTGGCGCAGATGCTCCAGGAGCTGGACATACCTGAGATGCGTTCATGCAGTCCTGTAGTCCGTGCGTGTTTCTGCTATGAGGCGGGGTAAGGGTGGGGGCAGGGCGGGGGGGCATGCGGATCCTAGCAGAAAAGATGGCAGGGTCGAGCTTAATGGATCACCTGAAAACCTACTAGCTATGTAGGGGTAGGAAGCCCATGCCACCGAGAAGGAAAATCACTATTTGCACGACTTCAGCTCAGCTGGGAGCCAGCACTCTTTTTCACTACTTGGAAGGTCAGGGGACTTATAAGCCGTGCAACAAACCCAGTTGTTGCCTTTACTATCCTTTACTCACTGACTAACTAAGTCACCATGAACCTCCCAAGTACCCCAAGTGAGTTTGACTTCAATTTGTGCTCCCCAGAATTCCTTTATATACCCCAAGAATACTTGCTCCTTGTACTAGGGAAAAGGGGCCTTGCTGTTTAGAGGAAAGTCCATATGAGCTATAGTCTAAACTCCTAGTATCCCCTTAATATCCCCTATAATACTCCCCTATATGANNGTTTAGACTATAGCTCATATCCTCTCGGCTTTGCCGCCTGGCGTCGTCTCCTCCCCGCCGGCCTCCATCGCTTCGATAAAGGCTGAGGTCAGGGCACCTCCAAACGAGCAAGTCAATCTTCTGTAGGGCGTGTATGGAGGGCGACATTATGCAGGAAGTGTGGAAGTATACTGATACATCTTTCTCTCATTCATGCAAATTTGCCGGGTTCCTGTTGTAAAACCAAGCCAGGTTCTGACAGTGGGATTGCACGAGTGCCTTCTACAAGGCATACCCCTGTCCTACCCTTACTGGCTTGAGCCTTCCTAATTACATCCCCAAGCATGTGTAGGTGTTGATGGCCCGTTTGAGGCTTGACTCTCTTTGTGTCCTGACTACAACTAAACCATATATGTAAGGCCTCAAATCTCCAACTTCGACCCCAATACCCTTAATCCTGAATCAGCCCCCGAACCCTGAAGTCATAGCCTAAACTCTGGACCCTATACCCTTTTGCTGCTGGACCCTATACCCTAAACTCTGAACCCTCATACATTCTGAACCTTCATCCAAATCCTGAACACCGTGTCCTACACTCTGAAACCTCAAACCCAAACCCCGCACCCTAAAACCTCACGTCATCCTCTCGAAGTCCTCATAAACTGGGTTGCTGTTAAG